ATTTGAACTGATTATTCTTTCTATAGTTTATAGATAAAAATGCAGTTCAATATCTACGAGTAATGTAATGGCTACTCAAAACCAAGATAAAATTAAACTAGAAACACATATGGAATACGGCTTGAAAATTACTACCACCCATCATCTTTGAATATACATTAAACCAATCTGAAAGGGTTACAGCAGTTGGAACTGTTTTAATCATGCAAAACATTTTTCTTACTTTGCGATTCATCTCAAACTCCTAGGTAAATAAAGGAAGCTAAATCATAACATTTTTCTTATTTGTGCATGTGTATGTGTAAATGGGTATTGCCTTTTGTTATCCTTAAATCTCAGGGGTGAATTTAACATTGAAAAATTATCAAAAAAGGTCGCTACGTTATGCAAAGCATTCCTGTCATCTGGATACTAAAGGAAGCAGACACCGGCAATGAATATTTGTTCATTTTGAAACTTCAGATGCAAAAGGAAGACCAAGGTTAAATACAAAATTGTAAGATTACCTGTCTTTTTTCACAGAAAAAATACAATCATTAAATTGCAAGACCAAGTAAAATCACACACAGGCATTTATATAGGCACACACAAGAAAAAGCAGGCTGCACTTGTTGGAAATCATTCTTTTTTTTTTTTTTTTTAAAACAAGAGCACTTTGTATTTGTTTTCTACCCAAACCTGTCTAACCTGAGCAACCAGAGTCAGTTGGGCTCTATCCTTTCAACCAGAAGTTAACCTTTACACGCAGAATCTTGATAGAATGTGGCATTTAGCTAATTCTAAATGAAGCCTTTTGTTTTTATTTGCTGCATAAAACACAGATTCTAATAAACAGAGTGTTGTATAACCACACTTCAAAGGCTTTGGTAAACTAAGTAACTCAAAGCAACATTGCTGCCTTCAGCAATCACACTCCAGTGAATCATCCAAGTGACCTTATTTGCTCATTAAAAACTCTGTGTACAGGTTGCAAATGTCAGAGTCTGAATTTACATTTTAAAAAGTACATCTTGCAGTAGTTTAATGAAAATATTTCAAATAACTCAGGTCAAATCCAACTATTTACTCATATTTTCTCTTTGATTTAAATATATTTGGCCTAGATTCACATATTCTTCACAGGCCATACTTTATGATCACTCCTTTTAACATCTTCTAAATTTATTTTTTGTTAACAGTTTGAAATGCCATTTGGCAAGAGGCTGTTCTTACACTATAATTTCAACCCCCATACCAACAACATGCTCACAAATAATTTTAAAACACTTAATTCCAGCGTTGCGTACACTCTCATAATTATATAAATCTATATATACCCAATGCATTCCTTATAAATAATTTGTGAGATTTTAAAGTGTGCATTGAGTTTCACAGGGTATACTATGAACACGCTTTAAGTTGTAGAAGAGTTTAACTTTGAATATGGAGTCATGATACTTATATATTCTATTTTAGAATACAGAAATCACAGTAATTAACCAGCAAGTCCGTTTTTCCTTCTTTTAAAATCATTTTCTTCTTTTGGAGGACAGTGACAGGGACCAGGAAGGAGGATTCCTGAGGAGGGTTGGCAGCAGGGTTGGACTAGAGACTAGCTTTCCTTTGCCATTCATTTATGGATAATCTTCCCATGCTCCATATTTCCTCAGAATCACCCGAAATTAATGCCTAACTCTCCAGAAGGAAACCATGAAGGTAATACCACCATTGGTACCCATATCAATTACACACACACACACACACACACACACACTATGGACAAAGAAGCTCTTTATAACAGAAACAACATGGGTTTTAGAATACACTGCCGAATCTTTACCAATATGTATCTAAGGGAATTTAGGTATTTAAAATTAAGTACACATTTCAGTGTTTTGATGTATTACAGGTTAATATAGGTACTTGATAATGTGGCCAAGAATGTTAAAACTAAATTAATTAAAATGCTTAATTAAAATGTCTAGTCAAGACCAGAGGATGTACACAGGTACAGATGGGAACTGGAAGCACAGGGAATCCAGGGTGGATGATCCCTTCAGGACCAGTTGTGTGAGTGGCGATATTGGGAGAGTAGAGGGAGAGTGGGTTGGAAAGAGGGAACCGATTATAAGGAGCTACATGTGACCTCCTCCCTGACGGACGGACAACAGAAAAGTGGGTGAAGGGAGACATCGGACAGGGCAAGATATGACAAAATAATAATTTATAAATTATCAAGGGCTCATGAGGGAGGGGGCAGTGGGGAGGGAGGGGAAAAATGAGGACCTAATGCTGGGGGCTTAAGTGGAGAGGAAATGTTTTGAGAACGATGAGGGCAATGAATGTACAAATGTGCTTTACACAATTGATGTATATATGGATTATGATAAGAGTTGTATGAGCCCCTAATAAAATGATTAAATAAATAAATAAAATGTCTAGCCAATAGAAGACCCTTAAAAGAGGGATCTGCACTCTCCTTCACATCACTAAAATGTGGAATCATAATTTGTTATTCAAAACAGTTAAGAAAGAGTAGTTTCTTCTACCTTCCCTGCCAATACCCCCACATAGCTCGTCTTACAAAGACTGCTTGGAAGACCATCACCATTTATTCTCCATGCATCGGGGCAAGAGTTGCTGTCTTGTCATTTGATACAGAGCACACGCATATTCAGTAAATGCAACTGCTCAAGAACTGTGACATGCTATCTATAAAAACCAAAACCAAACAAACTTTAGTCAAGTCGATTCTGACCCACAGTGACCCTGTAAAACATGGCAAATTGTTCTATAAGATTTCTAAGACTGTAGTCTTTATGAAAGGAGACTATGAATCATTCCCCTGTGGAGTAGCTAGTGTGTTCGAATAGCTAGCCAAAAGCTTAACCTCTGTGCTACCAGAGAATCTTCTGTTCTTTATAGCAGGTTTATATTTCATAATGACAGAGGAAGCTCCGTGATCTATTTAGAAAACTTATACTTGTTCTGGCACCAAATCCGGCATTACAGAAAATTAAAAATATGAATTTATTTACTTGATTACCATATCCAATCATGTTCCCATGTAGTTGTAAATATCTATGACATAAATTGTTTTAGTAAAATCAGATAGTATGGCATGGGAATTCTATTTAAAAAAAACTAAAACATTCAATGTATCTGAAATGAGTCTATAATGCTGAACTGGAGTGTAGTTTAAAAGTTTAAGAATAAAGTCAGAAAGATGAAAAGCCAGAAAGAGCCAACACTTGTAAAATGGTAAATACAATAATAAAAAAAGATTGTAAAAGGCTAATCTTGGAACAAGAAACGGAAATAACAGATCCATCTGCTGAAGGAAGATGATAAGGTCATGGAAGATTATTAACAGAGAATTGTTCTACTCTTGTCTTTCTTTTGTCTCCTATTAAAGGGACAGGGAAAATGAATATTCCATTTTTTTGTGATATGATAAATGCAGAATTTTAACTTAAATTATTAAAAATGAAGCGCAAGGGAGGTGTGACATAACACTACCACAAATAAAGAAAAACAGGAGATTTTTATTTAAATGCAAGTGCACTCTAAGAGATGAATGTGATGGCTGCCCATGAAGCTAATGTAACATTACTATAACATCAGCTCTAACATTCACATTACTGTAACATCAACTATTTTAATAAGAGAACATTGCATTATTTGCCATCAAGATGAAGGGAAGCAATGGGAGCATGCTATCTTGTACTTTTCATATCATGTCTGGAATACTTTGTCATAAGTTCTAGAGACACGGTATAAGGAGGATGGGAAAAAATATTGTGAGAACCTTCCTTATTGAAATTTCCACATGTCAACTATCTTAACTTAAATCTAGATTGCTGTTTATTCTCCCAACTTGTTACTCTTCTTAACTTTTCTCTACTTAAAGATTCCACTGTTTTTTATCGCTGTTTAAATGGAAATACTATGCCATCTCTCCTATGCCCCACATCCCAAGAGTTGCAAGTACATTCCTTACCAGAACATGCTACCTTACAGTCTTCACTCTAATAGTTCATGTCATGGTTACCCTTTAGTCCTACCGTACTGCAATGTCTCAAAATAAATACCTGCACATCTAATCGATCTTGTAATGAAAGTTGCTTTACCCACTGATGCAAGATAAGTTTCCATAGAGCACAATTCTTATCAAGTAGCTCCTGAAATTAAAAACTTTCAATAATTCACTGCAACTATACTACCTTCTCAGCTTTATCTCCTGTTACTTTTTCAATGTGTATAATTTTTCAATTAATCTATTGAATTTCCATTAATTGATGATATTTGCTTTCCAACCACTAGAATGGCTTTCTATGCTTTGTCCTTTCTAGCCACCAAAATGAAGCCCACAGCCATTGAGTTGATTCCAACTCACAGCAACCCGATAGGAGTAGAACCATCTTCAAAGAATTCCTGGACTTTCAAATTTAGGGGAGCAGACCACACCTTCTGTCTCTCCTGGAGGGCTGATGCCTTGAACTGCGAACCTTATGTTTAGCAGCCCAGTGTGTGACCCACTGTGCTACCCATCTTGCCCACCCATCTCTCAAGGACCCCACTGCAAGATCTTTAAGCTCTCATTTGTTTCTTTAATTTCCCCCCCTCTGTGTCTTCTGTTCTTCCATGAAACATTATTTCTGTTTCTTAATAATATGCCTCACAACATAATTTGGTTAAAACAGCTTACCCTCTACTTGAGGTGAAGGACAGTATTTACCAAAGTCTGTAGTATATCCGAAAGTGTTCTATAAATGAATTCTTTTTTACTGCACTACACTAAAAGGCATAGTAGGATTCAGACTAAGTATAAAGTCCTGGGCTTTCGTATAAATCAGTTAAGACAAGAATCTTCAATTAACTCTCTCAAGTTTCTAATTTTTCAGGTGAGAAAACTGAGAGCTATTATCACTCAGGTCAGCACTTGTCTTATTTTATACTTAAGATGCACTAAAATATTAAAAAAAATACAACCATCCTTATTGTCAATAAAAAAAGGATATTTCCCTGGCAGCGCAGTTCCAACTCGATAATCAGCGTAACTCCTGTTTGAGTGGAAGTTGAAAATGAAAAGAAGACCTGCTCTCTCAAAAGCAATGATCTTATTTTCTTCATGCTTCTCACTCACATGGGCCTGGAAGATGAGCACATTTATCATAGCAAGTAAAGCTTAGATGCTGCAACAAGTACTGTTTTCCAAAGTTAGTCATTTTTCTCAATAACCTTATTCATTATCAAGTCAACAATAAAAAGGCTAGCCTATAACTTAAAAAAATAGCATTTTATAATTTACCCATACCCCCCCAACCTAGGAACAATTAATTAGTTCTCACGACATGGCCCTACTTGACGCTCACCCTTATGAAGTGATCACTGAAGCTTTGGGTGCAAAGTAATGAAGAAACTAGAAGGCGCCTGGCGATCAGAAGGAACAATGTCTGAGGTCTTAAAGGGCTATTTTCAAACAAACAGCCATCTAAGTGAGGTGTCAACTAAGCCAATATGGAAGAAGCACACCAGTCTGTGTGATCCAAGGATTGTAAATAATAAAATCCAAATCCAATACAAGGAATGTCATCAGAGTTTAAATTGTGACATCTGTGATGGCATGGATAACAATGGAAGCCCAAAATCCATTGGCAGGTTCATTCATGAATGAAGCTGCAATGAATCCCCTGTGATCATAGATGAGAGAAGTGAACAGACTTGTTATCAGATAGAGAATATTATAAAGTATCACAGCCATAGTTAGGCTGAAATGTAATTTCATTTGATCTCCCTTTGGGCCCATTTTAAAGTCTTTTTACCGTTAGTTTCAGGTTTAGTGGTGGTTGTGTACATTTGAATAAGAGCTGTATTAAATGGTCTTCCTTGTATGTTTACAGATATTATGATATCATAGACAGCATTGTATTTCAAGACAGATCTTGTGATGTTCTTTTTTATTATGGATGCGGTGCAATTCCTGGCATAGTAAATCATATGATTTTAGAATTCAAAATGGCCCGAGTGAGACCATTTCTGCTCACTGCGCCTAGGGTACCAATCTTTATGTGTTCTATTTCTTTTGACAAGATCCAGTTTCTCTAAGTTCATAATTTATATATTCATCCTTCCAATTATGGAATTGTGTTTGCTGCTGTTTCTTCTTATGAGTCATGTCCTATCAATACATTAATGTCTCCAAATCTTCGCTTTGTCCTTGTTATTAAGGCCAACGCTACTTCAAGGAGTCACCTTTCCCTAATTCTACTGAGGGTCTTCCAATTTGAGGAGGTGGTCTTCAGCATTATCTCAGACGATGTTCTGAAAAGAGGTGACAAACCTCTCAGAAGCAGACTGCCTACTTCATCTTAATTTGTTTTTAATCAGAGCCTTTGCTGAAACCTCGTCATGATAGGTGACCCTGCTGGCAACTGGAATGGCAGCAGAGCTTCTAGATTCAAAACAACATACAGACCACTACCGTAAAAAAAAAAAATCCACAAAGGAATGGTGAGAGGTCTCTTGCAGTGAGTGTATATTGTGTATGTACACAAATAGACACACAGAGATCCACATGTTAGTAAAATAATATTCTACGTATTTATAGAAACTTCAATTAAACAAAAATATCAAAATAGTAGGCACTGTTTCTTGATATAGCCTCCACCTAGTTCTATATATACTTTTGAAATTGGTATTTACTTCTCTCAAATCCTAGTCCGAAGAACTCTGGAATTTTAAAATTTATACAATATAAAAACAGTAGTTTTGATATAATTGATGGTTTAGAATAACTGTCTTATTAAATGTTGGGTTTGGGGAACAACAACAAAAAAACATGACAGAGCAAGAATTTGGGCTGTAGGTGAGGTTTCCCGAAACAACTCACATACGAAACGACTTGAAACATCTAACAATGAGTAAGTGCACTGTGATGGGGGAAAATCCTTGGAGCACCTTTCCTGAACTTTTGCTTAGCAATGCTATGTTTAATTTATTGAAAACTTTTTAATAATAAAGTTCCTATGACCACCCTGTGTCCTTGAAGAAAATCAAGATTACCACTTTGAAGTTTTGGGAGTTATTGTTTTGATTGGACCTTTATTAATTTGTTTGAATTAATTAATTAATTAACACATTTGTCAAATCTGTGATTCCATTTTGGGGAAGATTTTTCAAACTCATTTGTTTGGATGGCCGATGATACCTCCCTTACTTTTTTCTTCACAACATCTACTTGGTCACAGCTCTGTCCTTTCATGCCCCTCTGCGTTCCCGGAAACAAAAAGAAGTCGCATGGAGCTATGTCACGTGAGTAAGGTGCGTGGGACAAGAGACACATGCTTTTTTTTCAGCCCCAAACTAGCACACTTAGATTGCTGCATGAGCGGGTACATTGTCATGGTGGCAAAAGCAATCGCCTGTCTGCCACAAATAAGGCTTCTTAGTCGCATATCACTATGTAATCTTTTCAAAATCTCTAAATAGGAAGCTTGATTAACAGTCTGACCTGGTAGAATGAATTCCAAATGCACTAGCCCCTCACATCAAAAAAACAAATGAACATTGAACATCATCTTGATCTTTGATTTTACTTGATGTGTTTTTTTGGGGGCGAGGTGATGATGGCGTCTTCTATGGCTTGATTAATGCTTGCTTTGGGGGATTGTAAGAATAGCACCATGTCTCTTCATCCATAATGGCTTTGAGAAAAAAGTCTGGGTCTCTTCGAAGCTGTCCTTTCAAAGCACATGTTTCCAGTAGACAATCTTTTTCCTGGTCACTCAGAATGGAGGCACATATTTCTCAGCGACCCTTCTCATCCCCAAATCTTCTGTTGAACTTCACTGAACTGAGCTCCAAGATAGTCCAGGTCATTTCCCCATCTCTTCAATGGTCCATCATTGGTCTTCCAACACAAGTTTACCAATATTGTTGTCATTTTCACCCATTCGGGTAGTTGATGGACATCCAGAAGAAGGTTTGTCATCAATTGACATTTTACCTCTTCTGAAATGAGAAAACCACTCATACACTTGAGTTTTTCCCACAGCGCTGTCCTTGTAACCTATGTTCAACATCACAACAGTTTTTGCAGCATTTTTTCCGAAGGAAGAATAAAAATTTCACAGCTGCATACTATTCTCTAAATCAGCCATCACAAAAAAGGTTCGAGTAAAACTGCTTTTATGTAAATATTCACTATGACCAGAGAGAACCTTCCCAGGTGACACCACTGGGTGCACTAACTCAGAGCGAGTTGCTCAATGCTTGCCTAGTGGGAAAGACGCATACTTTGAAAGTTCTGCCCAGCGGAACTTTTTCCTTTTGGGGGGGTTACCCCCTTGTACCCAGAGAGAGTGAGAAAATGAACCAGCCAGCTCGCTAGCCCCTGTGGCACAGCTGTTAACAGAATGGTCAGTTGTTTGAATCTACCATGGGAGAAAGGTGATGGTCTGCTTCTTGGAAATGCCATGAGGTAGAACTACTCTGTCCTGTGGGGTGGGGTACCTATGAGTCATAACTGACTGAATGGCAGTGGTATTTTATATATATGGGGGTGGTAGGGGTGAACGGATGGTGGTCTGAAAGTAAATTATGATATCTATAAACACTTTAGTTTATTATACTAACTACAAACACTTTAGTCTAAACATTGTGTTTTGCAGCTGGCCGTGAAAAGCCTTTACTTTTTCAAAACTATCGTTTCTCAGCCCCAGCTCGAGAGGACTTATTTCCATGCATATCAGCAGCATCACTCCTGGTAATTTAGAAATGCGAACCAAGGCTCTAGAGTAAACAATGTGCCTTTTGGTATTCAACAATATTCCTATTGAACAGGAACATCATTTTGCTCTCTCTCCTGGAAATAGCATTACTAATAAATGTGATTAGGGCATTCCTGTCATGTAGTCAATCTTGGTGAATATATAAGTACCTTTGTTCAGCCATTAAAAATATCATACGCACCAAAGTAAAAACAGACCAACAGTAATTTCAAACACCACCAGTATCAAGTAAATGGATTATAACGAACACAAACTATATGCTAATTTTTGCAAGAAAAAAAAAGCCTGTATAAATTTTGCATCTGTTAATTACATTTTCTAAAACTTATTGAAAACTGAGACTTTAATTCCAGAGAGAAACAGGCTTATGAAAAATACAAAACAGCATGCAGGTATAATGACATCTATTGAAATGACAAGTTAGAAACCAGGAAAGGAAGGGGGAAAAAAAGAAAGAAATCTACATGTTTTCAAAATAGTTTCTTTATGACAGCATAATTATTTATATAAAGCAAAGCAGTCAAAACAATTAAGATGTTTCCACAGCAATTTCCAAAATAGATTCCATATAGAGCTTTTGTCATTTATTTTAACCAATTGCTATAAAGTTACGGGATTTAAACAAAAGCTAAATTTCAAGTAAACACAAAGGTAAACGGGGCATTATGTTGAAATTTCAGTCTACTGGAGAGGCTTTGGTGACATTTTGACAATTCGAAGTATGTCACAAGGCATCACATAATAAAGTCCTGCTTAAAAGATCCACATACAGCTTTAACCCAATTGCCATTCCAAGCATGTGCAACATTGGTGACTAGAGCACAGCTTTTAGAATAAGAGCTTACCTGAGGAGCTGCAAGCCAACCGCATCTTTCTTCCAATTTATTCATATCCCTGTCAAAGTTCTTCAGGAACTTATAGCGCAGGAGGTCATCATCAGCTAAATGAAACTGCCTTCTGGCATAATGGTAACTCTCGTTGTTTCCCTTTCTTGGGAAGTCTAACCATTCTGGGTGTCCAAACTCATTACCTGGATATGAGAGAGAGAGAGAGAGAGGGAGAGAGAGAGAGAGAGAGAGAGAGAGAGAGAGAGAGAGAGAGAGAACTTAGCATTTCTTACTAAGATAATTTATTCATAGTGTGAAAGTCATAACATTTTTAAGATGAGCTAAACATATAATTTAATGTAGCTGTGCCCTGGCAGCTCAATGGCTTGAATGTTGAGCTACTAACTGAGAGGAAATGGTTCTAACTCACCAGCTGCTTCATGGAAGAATGGTGAGGCAGTACGCTTCTGTAGAGTTCCAGGCTCAGAAACACTGTGCAGTACGTCTAATCTGTCCTATGGGTAACTATGGTTACCAAAAAACGATGGTTTCTTTGGTCCTGGTGCCCTTCATGCATTGTATACATGCAGACTTCAGTGTCTAGTTACTATAGTATAGCGAAGAGAGGGCCACATTGGACTCAGATGCCAAGGTTCAATTTTGCTTAGGCCACTCCTTACTTTAAGCATCTCTCAGTTTCCTCTAGCACACGGTTCTCAACCTGTGGGCCACGACCCCTTTGGAGCTCAAACAACCCTTTCACAGAGGTTGCCCGATTAGCAACGAAAATACTTTTATGGTTGGGGGTCACAACAACATGAGGAACTCTATTGAAGGGCAGCAGCATTAGGTAGGTTGGAGACCCACTGCTCGCTCTAGCACAATATGAGGACAAATGTGTCTGTTCAACTGATTTCATCTCCATAATAGGCTGTGTAACCTTAGTAATTTTATAAATCACTATTTCTGTCATTGCTAAAATTACTCTGTTACTGCTGCTACCTAGGTGTCACCAAGTCGGTTCTGACTTATAGTCACCCTTTGTGCTATAGAATAGAACAGCTGGTGTTACGTTTGAGCCCATTAGAGCAGTCGCTGTGTCCGTTTATTTTGTGGCTGGTCTTCTTCTTTGCTGCCCCTCTACTTGACCAAGCATGCTGTCTTTCTCTAGGGACCGGTCTCTCCAAAGTTCGTGGGAGGAAGTCTCAGCATGCTCGCTCCTGCGGAGCATTCTGGCTGTACTTTCTGCAAGACATACCTGTTAGCTGTCCTAGCAGTGAATGGTACTCTCCATCTTCTTCATCAGCACCATAATCCACAGGCATCAATTCTTCTCTGGTCTTTCGTATTCACTGCCCAGCTTTCCCTCTCAAAGGAGGACACTGAAAATCCTATGCTCTGAGACTGGAGACCCTTAGTTCTCAACAGGAATTCTTTGCTCTTTAGCACTTTATAGAGGTTTGCCCAAAGGCGGTAGGTGTTTTGATTTATTGACTGCTGCTTCTATAAGCATTGATTGTTGATGCAAGTAAAATGAAATCCTTATTAACTTCAATCTTTTCTCTATCATTATGTTTCTATTGGTCCAGTTAGTTATAAGGATTTTTTTTCCTTTACATTGAGAAATCTGTACTGTGGTTTACAATTTAGGAAGGTTTTGTGAGTACAATATTCCACTATATCCATTTCACAAAGTAGAAATCTTGACAGGGTTTTTGCCCAAATTCATAAACATAGTAAGTGGAAAAGTGACAATAACAATTACCTCTGAGTAAAGTCCATGGATCTGTTCACCTCATATTATATGAAGCAAATAGCCTGTGGGTGTTACAGTGCACAAACAGCAGATGGGTTACAACATCTGACCCCCGGCTTCCCTAATGCCCTGAGGCAGAAGTCAGACATGCCTCCCCTGACACCTCTCTTTGCCTCTTCTGACCCTAAATGTTTCTCCCACCGCATCCTACTTCTAGTCTGTGCTGGATAACTTGTTACAATGGCCACATGGAACTCACAGACAAGAATCCCAATTATGGGGGTTTATGAGAAGTTAATAGGTTACTACAAGTCAGAATCAGTAAACAATAATGATGCAGTCATTGTTCCATAGAAACGCCTCTCCTCAGCCAGCTGCTAAGCCTCTCTCCAGTCCTTAGCCTTTAGCCTTGATCCCTTGGCTTTTGCCTCAATGGACTAGGAAGACCACCTGTTATGCTGACACCACGTCTCTGTTCTGTCTCACGGTTTCCTTTCCTCAGTTTCTCGCCTTGGGCTAGCTCCTTCGTTTGGTCCCATAGTTTCCATGCCATAATCTCTGGGGCTTCAGCATGAGATCTTGAACATGCTCTTCTTCCACTGTTCCTGGGACTTCTCTCTCACTGCTTCAAAGATGGCCAGGGGGTGGGGGGAGGGGGGAAGAGGGGGGAGCTGAAGCTGAACAATCCCCTCTATTAGTGTTGCACACACTCTATTTACACAGTCCCACAGAATCATTTAGTGGAAGTTACGGAGTCATGGATAGAAGAGCCATAATACCATACACAGTAAACAAAGCCATTTTTATTATTCAATTTATTTATTCCTTTTTCAGTTCTACTTGTCATTTCAACATGTGAATCATTAATTTCAAGTGTGTGTCTGTGTGTACAGGTAGCATACATTGGAAATGCACTAAATACTGATTGCTATACTAAAGAGTACTTAAAAAATATAGCAATAAAATTACAATTTTTCTTTTTGAGAACAAATTTTAGATACTATTTTCCTACACTAAAGCTTACTTGCCCCCTTCAAAATAAAACATTATTTAGGAAAATTGCCTTTAATTTATCACCTTACCTCTGCATGTAGCTAAGAGAGATTGGGGAAAGTACCATAACCAACCCATGTGTGTTCTACTTTAAGATAAACTAGTATATATCAATAATCTAATAAAATTAATAAGCTAGACTATAATTCAAATTGATTGGCTGTAGAGTTGCTTTCCACCAATTGCCTGTTAGTTTGTTATCCTTTGGTGGACAGCATATTGCTGTACTGTTGAAAACATTGCCACTGTTATTTCAACTACCAGCAGGCTCACTCGCCATGAAGAGGTTTAGTAGGGCTTCCAGACAAAGACCAGAACAGAGAGAAAGCATTGTCTGTACACTTCTTAGGGAGGAGCCCATGGAAACCTCATGAACAGGAGTGGAACACTCACTGTCAGAGCGACAAAAGGCAGACCGCTCAGGTTGGAAACCCACTGGCATTGAGTTGACTCTGACTCATCACGACCATTTACAGGGCTTACTTAGCTGTGAACCTTTATAGGAGCTACAGTCTCATCCTTCTCTATACACTAGGTGGGTTTGAACCACCGACCTTCTGGTTAGTAGTCCAATGCTTACCAGACAGTCTAGGTTGGAAGGCACTCAAAATATGATATGAGAGGAGTTTCCTGCTCGAAGTAGATGAAATAAGGTCAGGGGATGAATATAGAAGGCAACACAAATTATTTATAAGTTCAAGTTGATGGTGAAGAAAATTAAAACATGAGAGCCAAGGAACCATCTTGAGAATATTCAACTTGAAATTAGAAATCACCTTGAGAACAGGTTACATGCTTTGAACACCAAGGACAGAAAACTTGAGGAATTGTGAGATGACATTAATGACATCACACCTGCAGAAAGCAAAAGGTCACTGAAAATACAGCAAAGAAAGAAAAACTCAAAGAGGTTTCCAGAAAAAAAAAACCCCTCTGAAATATGCCCCTAATCTTAGAGTAGCTAAAGTAAGAGGAAGACACCATGACGTAAAAAGGCTGAACATTAATTTCAAAGGGTGTCTTGAGAAGATAACGTCATGCATTACAGCAGGTTCTCAACCCGTGGGTCATGACCCCTTGGGCAGTGGTTCTCAACCTTCCTAATGCCACGACCCTTAAATACAGTACTTCATGTGGTGACCCCAACCATAAAATTATTTTCATTGCTACTTTAAAACTGCAAATTTGCTGCTGTTATGAATTGGGTGACCCCTGTGAAAGGGTCATTCGACCCCTAAAGTGGTCGTGACCCATAGGTTGAGAACCACTGCTTTTGGGGGTCAAACAACACTTTCACAGGGGTTGCCCAATTCACAACAGTAGCAAAATTACAGTTATGAAGTAGCAACAGAAATAATGTTATGGTTGGGGGTTAGCACAACACGAGGAACTGTATGAAAAGGTTGCAGCACTGGGAAGGTTGAGAACCACTGCATTATAGTGAAATGTGCAAAGTTAGAGAGCCTAATAGGAAGAATATGCTCACTGTGTCTCTTGCTGAAAGTGTTGAAGAAAACATTCAAACCTCGAGTTGTAATATTGGAGAATTTTAGCAGCGAAAATACTGAACAATGTAGGAAGTGTTACAAGATGATAAAAATAATACACAGAATGGAGCGTAAAGAACTAGCTGTTTTTCAACCAAGCCAAAGAGTAGCATATGATCAAGAACCAATGGTATCAAAGGAAGAAGTCAATGATATACAAAAGGCAGTGGATGAAACACACGACTCCAGGAATGGGTGGAGTATAAATTGCTATGTCTCAACAAGCAGATGCAGCACTGGAAGTTCTCACTTGTCGATGCCAAGAAATGCCTCTGACAGCTACCTGGAAATTAATTGGAAGAGAGCCCTATCTGTGCCCATCCTACAGAAAGGTGATCCAACAGAATGTGTATATTACTGAATTAAATTATTAATATCACATACAAGTAAGATTTTTCTGAGTATCATTCAAAAACTGTTGCAGGAGTACATCGACGAGGAGCTATCAAAACTTCAAGCTAACTTCTGAAGAGGACGTGGAATGATGAATATTATTTCTGATATCAGATGGATCTTGGCAGAAGGCAAGTATGTTTACTTGTATTTCATTGACTATGCAACTAACCAACCATGGATAATATTACAAAGAATGGGAATTCCAAAACATTTCATTGTTCTTATGCGAAATCTCTACATAGACCAAGAGGCAGTTTCTGAAAGAGATTAAGGGAAAATTGCATGGTTTAAAATCAGGGGAGACGGTCCCCACCCTTGACCAGTCCTGGGGCTTTGCAGGTTGGCTCAAGGATAGAGTCCCTCTGGGACACGGGGGTACAGTGAATGGTGTGACCCTTTGCCTGGGCATGCCTACACAGTATGGTATGCTGGGCGCCTATAGGGTTTACTG